GATAGATAGATAGATAGATAGATAGATAGATAGATAGATAGATAGATAGATGCTAGAGCCAAACAAAAAAAGGTCAAGGATCAAAGAAGCCTGGAACCTCATAAGAAAATAAGGTGCAATGTCTCAGGATGACAGTAGCATCAACTGAAGAGTAAGCATCCCATTTCTCTTCCTTTGAGAAGAGGAAGGAAGGGACACCAGAATGCTTGATGGTTTTGAGCCAGTGGAGAGGAAGTCTACTGAGGGATACAAAAGATACCTGAGAGGGAATGTAGGATATTCTCACCTGTATGCAAGTTTTTAATAGTAACAACCCAATCTCCTGTATCACAAGGAAGTAAGAATTTCAGAAAATAAATGTCACTCCCAAATGTGAGATGATCATTTAAAATAGAGTATGTGGGAAGGCCTTGGAGGAAGGGAAAGGCAGGGGGAAATGATGCAATTATATTATAACCTTTAAAAGAGAGAAATTTAAAAAGATAATTGCCACTCATATTAAAAAAGGAAAACCTTGAAAATTTATAACTAAATTTTATTACGTTGAAAAAAAAATTGGCTTGATACTAAACATTTACAAGATTCCTATAATAATGAAAGTACTGAATGTTAGTTTAATCAAGAAACTCTCTAAGGGACAAAGAATGGAAAGGAAATGACATTTAAGAGGGTAAAAATTTCAACTATTGTAAATGGAAATGAATAAATAATGTTACAATGCTAACAAATCAAGAAACATCATTTTGGCATAACCTTAAGTGCACAGATCAATATAAAAGATAGCTACAATAGTTAAAGCCTTTGCCCCTGGGGGTACAACTGGAGTGGCAATGTGACAGGTGCACAGGCCCACTAGAGGTCACAGTAGCCTTGGACTTAGTCGATTTTTCTGAATCTTTATTTTTTTAAAAAAATATTTTGACTTTTAAATGTTTTTAAAGTTTTCTGTCAAACTTTCCCGTGATCCTCCAGAGAGCTGGTTCTTCTCCACGGCGCCCCCTAATCCTCTTTACTACAGCTTTCCACATTTCTCAGTTGTTAGGTTCTGTCTAACTTTCCTTCTTATATGGCACCAACCCGTGGCCACACCTGACTCCAGTTGGCACCAAGAACAGTCCAGCCAGAAGAGATGTGAATAAACACCTTCCCCCAGAGACGCAGCGATCATTCCAGACCTCACTATAGACCCTCCCCAAATCTTGTCCTGTAAGCAGCTGGTTGTCACTAAACCATTTCCTGCCTCCTCCCTCCTCCTGCATCCCATCTGGGCATCAGTCTAATGAATCCTTTTCTGCAGAGGTTCCTGACTCCACTTCCCACTGACGTGTCTTGCTATGATTACAGCTACTTTCTGATGACCAAACTTCATAGTTACAATTGGATCCTCTGAGTTTTAAGGTGAATTGAACTTCTGTAGTAAGAAGGCTACTTGTTTGCTTCCTGGCTGCTCCACAGCTCAGACCGGAAATAATCACATAGAAATTGTATTATTTAAATCATTGGCCCATTAGTTCTTGCTTCTTATTGGGTAACTCTTACATCTTAATTTAACCCATCTCCATTAATCTGTGCATCACCACGAGGTCGCGGCCAGCGAAGTTTTAGCACATCTGTCTCTGACAGCAGTTCCATGGCTTCTCCCCAATTGCGCCCTTCATTCTCCCAGCATTCAGTTTAGTTTTTCCTGCCTACCTCTGTTCTACCCTATCAGGCTAAGGCAGTTTCTTTATTAACTAATGATATTCGGGGCTTCCAGAGGGGAATCCCACAACAAACTTCCAACAGTTTTCCTTCTACTCCTCCACCAATCAGGCACTCACAGGTTCACTTTCTCACACTCCCAGCAAAAACCAAGATCCTACTGTTCTACTGAGATTAGAACACCAACTTCACACTCAAGCTCCCAGCATCACAGTTCACATAGACTCCTTCAATCAAGTCTCTTAAATATCTGTTCTAAGGCTTAGTGTTGTGGTCCACACCTATAATCCCAGCACTTGGGAGACAGAGGCAGAGGATCTCCAGAGTCCAAAGCCAGTGTAGGCAGCAGAGCAAGACTTAAAAAGAAAAATAACAGAGAAGCATTTTCTTGCAGTAGAAGCTAACTATCAGAGAGACCCGCAGCTGGACAATGTGAACAGAGTGAGAGACTTTGGAGCACTCAGTCTTAAATGGGATGCCTTTATCAGATCCCTCCCCTCAGGGTTCAGGAGTTGTATGGAAGGGGAAAAGAAAGATTGCTTTTGGAGGTGGTAGTAGGTGGTCCCAAGGAGGCAATGCCTTCCAGACACAGCAGGACGGATGGACCTATGAACTCACACTCATCATCTGCACAAGTTCAAAATAGTCCCAGCACTGATGAGCGGAGGGGAGGGCACGATGTCCCACCCCTAACCAAGAAGCTATTTATAATTGATAACTGCTGGGAAAGGGACTATCGGGTTTTTTTTTTTTCCAAAGATGTGCCACTGGGTATACCAACCACATTAGGGCAGGCCTCATGCCCACACGTAGTTTGTCAACACAGAATAGACTCCCGTGTGGACATTTTTTGTCTTATTTTCTTTATCATCTTTCTTTTTTCTCCTTTTTTGCTTTATCTGTTTTTATTTTCATTTTTGGTTGTTTTTTTCAGAGAGAGAACACATGAAGCTAAGTTGGAGGGAGGTGGGGAGGATCTGGGAGGGGCTAGGGGAGGGGAAAGAATATAACAAAAATATATGAAAAACAGTTAATTATTTAATCTATTAAGACCAGAGCTGACTGTTCACTCTCTTCCCGGGACTTTGCCTGTTAATAGCATCAGAGAAAGAGCTGGAATTTTTCTATTTAAATACTGTGCTTGCCTCCATAGGCCTAGTACTGAGTTAAGTACTTAGACCATTTCAGTAAGTTGTCGTTACTAAACGATAACTACTTTGGTTCTTTTCTGGTCAACATCTTTTGTGCCCTCATCAGCTGGTACCTTCACCTCCATCTCCTCTAGCCCAGGACATTATTTTTAGCTGTTCCAGTTACACAGAAGCAGTGTGAGTGTGCACTTTTGCATTATCCACTCTGACTGGATTTCATCACCCTCACTGGGTGACATCTGGAGTTTCTTACTCATTTGTTGCTTCTCAGACACAAATTGTGTTCAAACACAAACTGTAGTAGATCATCTTGGATACTCTTCTGTTGCTGTATTACAGGGTCCGAGTCCACGATGGTGGAGTGAAGGAACAGTTGAGAGCTCACATCTTGATCCACAACCATTAGCAGGAGGGAAAGGGGAGAAGGGGGAGGGAGAAAGCTTGCACTGGGGATTATAGGAGTCTTTTGAAACCTTAAAGTCTTCCCCAAATGTTACACTTTCTCCAGCAAGGTCACATCTCCTAGTCAAAGAGTTCCACCAACTGGGGAATTCAAGTACATGAGCCTACGGAGGTCCGTTCTCGTTCGAAGCACCACATAGACATTCACCAAAAGCTTATTGAAAATATTCTGATTAAAACACTGAGAGGATAAGCAATCCATTTCTGAAAATCTCAATAGAGCCTCGGATGCATTTTTCCACCCATTAAATATTAATACGAAAGGCAGCGAATGCTTCCCGTAGAACTGTCATCTGTTCTTTCAGAAGCTCTGTCTCATTCCAGCGTGAAGGAACAGGATTGCTTCGTACAAGTTTGCATGCCCATCAATGTCAAAATGTCCAAGCAGTGCAGTCTATCAAGGTCATTGTGAGAGAAGCCAGCTGTAATCAGTGCTGTACCTTATGACTATAAGTTGCCACTGTACCTTATGACTGTAAGCTGACGAGACTTCCGTACAAGAGAGGCCTCCCCAGATAATTTTCCTTTAAAATGGTACCCCAGGTCCTCCTCCATCATCATCGGAATGCCCTGTCACTGTTTCTGCTCTTTGATCTTCTCTAAGGAGCCAAACTGCCGCCTACAGTGAGCCCAGGACCCTCACCTGAACCTAGGCAGCCCGTCTATACGAAGTATGATGGGCCACACAAGAACTTACCTCAGCAGTGGACATGGTCTCTTCAGGGATAAACAGGTAGGCACACTTGTGCAAAACTTTGAGCTATAGCCTTAAGATTTGTGAATCTTACTGTGTATAAATTTCATTTTAGTAAAGTTCTCTTTAAAAGGCACTGGGGTATAGCTGAATCCTTGAGAGGATGTTTAACACATGTGAGGTTCTGGGTTCAATTCCCAGCACCACAAAAATATAAAAATTACAGCTGGCGGGAGGGCCCATTGGTAAACCAAGGCTGAAGACCAGGGCTTGATACACACACACACACACAAACACTCATACACACATACACACACATGCACACACTCAAACACACACACACACACACCAAATGTAATAATAATTTTAAAGAATAAAAATTAAAGAGTTGTACAAATAAAATGTGCGGCAGAAAGTTCCACAAAACAGTACAGGCTCTTGCTATTGCCTCTCCCTAGAGCTTCATGATGAGACCCTGTTAGTAAAGCATCATACTCTTCCGGTGATATGGAGACAGAGAAATCAAGTTGGAACAGGGCTGGAAGCTTCTTCCACACTAACTTGCAGTCTCCAGTGCCAAAAGGTACTAAGTGTGCTGCTGGGGGAGGAAAACCATCAACAGCCTTACCCTGAAAGTCACAGCAATGACCTGCCAGGCAAAGTGAGCCTCTCAGTGCAACAATTTCATGATTGTTATGGGCATAACCAATCACTTTCTAATTAGATTTGAAGCCTGCTCTATAGGAGAGACTTTTGCCTGGTACTGGGAACCTGGTCCAGGCCCTGTTCAGGAGTTACTGCTATTGTTTTGCTAATGGTTAT